CCGCCGGGATCTGGGGCCGGGGTTGTTACTAAAAACCGCGGTCGGAGATTACAAAACCCGCTCCGTTGCTATGCCTAGTATAAACATCGTGCTCGACTAGGCATATATAGGGGGTAGGTCTTTTGAAGACCCGAACTTAAGCTACCATATTTTTTTCATCTTATTTCAAAACTCCCGTTTGGATGGGTAGAAATTTCAGTTTTTTAAATTAATTAGATAGTAAAGTTGATCAATTTTATTTTTATCTATAATATATTATAAAACATTTGACAAAAACTCTTAAAAATCATTTTTTATGCAAGAAGTATTGTTTATTGGTGCATATTACTTAAAATTGAATATTACAAGTAAATTATGCATAAGTACAACGTATTAAACATCTTATTTTAAATATAAAAATTTAAAATATAATTACGATAATCATTGAGTTCTAACAGATTACTTAATTAATATCCTTATAAAAAAATTATCATATCGAAAATAAATTACTTCATTATTAAATCTAAATTAAATTATAATAAAAAATTAAATTAAAGAAATTACACAAAAATAAGAACTTTTAAATATTTAATTTGATATTAATATTTATATATATATTTTCGAAATTTTATGATATATTCAAATTTATATTTTATTCAAAAATAAAATCATTATCTCTTTCTCAAAACCACATAAAAGCCGTATTAAAACATCCACAGAGACAGAATAAAACGAAACATTCAAATCATGATATAGCTCGTTGCATTGCACGAGTACCATTCTATATACAAAATACAAAGGAGAAAAATTTAATAAAAGGGTACAATGACCTGAAAACCCTTGACTTAACGGACTCTTTTAACAGAGTTAGTCAAAGGTCCAAAATGGGAAAAGAACCGTAAACCACGAGGACCAAAAAGACAATTTCCAAAGACTTGTGGACGAAAATCGTATAAACAACAAACCAATAGGATAAAAATGGTAGTTTGCTCTATTAAAATTTAGTAGGTAAATAAAAAAAATGAAAACGAAAAAGATGATGGAGGGGCAGGCGTCCGTACGCTAGGGGCAGGGGCAGGGGCATGGGTTAAAGTAGTAGTGGCATCTTTCGCATTTGTTATCATCAACCCTCACGCTTATATGCATACTTTCCAAAACAATTATTATTTTTCCTTTTTTATATTTAATTTTTTGTCGGTAACTATAAAAATACGTACATACGTTTTATATGGATAAAATCGTAAAAGTAACTACGATTTTTAGACGTTTCGAAAAACAAAACTCATATCAAAAGCTGTCATTTTGTTAGAACGTCACATGTTAAACTCGACATTTTAATACGAATATGTATTATTATTATTATTATTATTATTATTATTATTATTAAGAAAAAATGAATAGAAGAGAAATTACTTTTACTTAAATTTATTTTGTAAAACGCATATATATATACTAGAAAGGTACTCGTACAATAAAGTGAGATACAACTCAATTTTTAATTTTTTTTGTCTCAATCGATGTTATAATACGATTTTATGTGATTTTGAGAAAACGATAATAAGTTTATTTTTGAATAAAGTATAGATATATCATAGAAAATTGAAAATAAATATTGATATTGGTATAAAACTAACTATTTAAAATTTTCTCTTTTTTCTGTGAATTTCCTTAATTCATTTTTTTCTTTTTGGTTTAATAATATAATCTTTATAAAGATAATAATTAAGTATTTTGTTAGTACTAAATGATTATCTTAATTATATTTTAGATTTTTTATATTTAAAATGAGATGTTTATCCTCTATTTGATTATGTTTATCTGCAGTTAGTTACACAAATTCAAACATGAAACTTTAAAAGTTTTACTTACGCATAATTTACTTGTAATCTTGAATTTTAAGTAATATGCATCAATAAACAGTATCTCATGCATAAAACTGGTTTTTAAAAGTTTTTTGTTAAATGCTTTATAATGTAGTATGGATTTTGTTTGTTTCTTTAATTCATTTTTTTTATTTTTGGTTTAATAATATAGTTTTTTATAAATATAATATTTAAACATTCTGTTAGAACTCAATGATTATCCTTATTAAATTTTAGATTGTTTATATTTAAAATTAGATATTTATCCTCTATTTGATTATGTTTAGCTGCACTTAGTTACACGAATTCAAACATAAAGGTTTAATAAGTTGTACTTAGACATAATTTACTTGTAATCTTGAATTTTAAATAATATGCATCAATAAACAACTAATACAAACAAGATGGTAGAAAAAATATAAAATGTAATATATTGATTATAAGAATTTCAAATTGATTATTATATATTGTAAAATTTGAATTTGTTAAAAAAAATTTTAGAAAAAAAATCTATTATTTATGATTTTAAATAATCATTACATATAATATGAATAAAAATAAAAAGGGACTACCTCGCATATTCTAATTAGTATTATATTTAAAAATAAATTAAATATTTTATTCAAATTATTTAACACATTCATTATCTATAAAATGAAATAAGCATAACTTTAAAGTTTACATTACGTAAACATTACAAAAATTGTTATATTTATGATTTTTGATAACTAAATATATTAAATAAATAATTATAAAAATAATTGATATAATTAATAAGCATTGTAAATAATTAATAAATAATATTAATAAATCATGTATAATTAAAATTAAATTTTAATTTATACTACTTATATTTATTAATGTGAGTACGATTTAGATTTTATTAATATTTATTTATAATTAATAATAATAAATAACAATTAATATTAATTAGGATTATAATTAGAAAAAGTGACAATAAGCGACCAAAATGTTACTTCAAGTAACGTTTCAGTAAGCTAACTTATATAAATGCATTCAAACATATATCCAAAAAATAAATTAACTTATTTTTCCTAAATAATAAACTAAAATAATTTTATTTATGTCTAAAAAGAAATGAGAAACTATATTTTTGTTAGAGCATATGTAATGGCATCAACATGATTCCATCTCAAATCCACAAACATAACATTGTGTGACATCATGCCAAGTGATGTCACATATAAGAGCCTCTCCCACTGCTATAAAGGTTTTTACTATTTCAGAATAGCTTTTTATCATCGTAAAAAAAATAACTGAAAAGTTTTTGTTACCACATCAAAATATATATATATATATATATATATATATATATATATATGGAGAGAGAGGATTGGGTGACGTAAGATCAAGAGTTTTTCGTGAGACTCGTAAGACCAACTTATGTTCATTAATCAACTTTATAAGCTAATGATCTAATGGTCTAAAGTTGCACATTGACAATTTTGTGATTATTGAGAAATCTCGTGGCATTTTTATGATTATGAATGTTCAGATTATAGATCTAATCCAAGGGTTGAGAATTGGTTTCACAGAAAACTCTTGGTCTCACATGATCTCAAGTCTATATATATATATATATATATATATATTGGTTGTATACTTGTATTGATGAGGATTTTTAAAGATGAGTTTTTGTTAAATATAATTAGTAGAAAGTTGATGTGACAGAAGTAAAAAATGTATTTGAATGAGTTATGCATTATGGATGCTCTAAGGACATTTCAAATAACAAAGACTAATTTTACAATGGACTAATTATAATTTGAGAACCACATATATTATGATAATTGTGAAAATTATTATTGTATATTTTTTATCGAAGGATTGTTTTCCAAACACTTACCTGGGTAAGTGTTTACAGGCAAAATTCAACACTACTACTTACTTCTCAGATAAGATTTTAGTCCATCAAAACGGTATCATATGCAACAATTTATCAAGTAAACACTAACCGTGGTAAAATTCTCGGTCTTTGCCTTCATTTTTACTAAGAAAGATTCTTGGTCTTTGCCTTCATTTTTAGTATGAAAGATTTTTTGTGCTTACCATATACATCTGGTAAGGTAATGTGGCTTAGTAAGCGCTTACCCATGTAAGCGTTTAGTAAACGACTCTTAAGACTAGAATTTAATATATTGATTAACATATATTTGTTTCACACTATGTGTACTTCATATATATATTCGGTTCACAATATGAAACTTCTTATTTGTATTTTTTGTTTCACAAACACATAAAAAATGTTCACATTGTGAAACGAACAGATTGTGAAATAAATTTATGTTATTCAATACATAAATCCAAACCGTAATCACGTAAAATAACACCTAATACACCGGTTCTCAAAATGATCATAATCTTATGGGTTCTCAAATGTGACCCACCCTAAGCAATTAATTGGCTAAACAATTAATAATATTCTGAAACTAATTTACTAGTTGACACCAGTAAAAAAAAGTAAAAGTTAAATCAATTTTCAAATATCGTACAATTAAGAACAAAAAGATGATTGAACAAGACTACACAAAAGATGATTGAACGGGACTACAGATAAAGGTTCAACCGCACATGTCGAAGCACGGCCCCAACATCCAAACACATGTGAAATTAGACCCCAAAATTTAAAAACCATGTTCATAATCTCACATTTAACATGCTAAAAAATAAGTATCACTTATAATGCTTTCCACCACCCTCCTTACAATTTTTTCCGTCTCCTACTTTCAATAGTTATTTGTCTATTTTATTCCTCATCTCCGTCCCCACCCCCAGCCGACCTCTAGCTTCAGTCCAAGACTAGGTCCAAAACAGATATTAATCAAACAGTAAAACATCTCATCTTAACCTTCTCTTTAACAATAATGACAAAACACATTCAGACTTGGTCCTTCCCGTTGCAAGTTTTCTTCAATTAAAGTATTAAGATTTCACCTCCATTTTATGTAAAGAAGAGTAGAAGAGTGATTGAGATCAAACACATTAATAGAACAGGCAGTAATAGCATTTTTAAGTTTCCTCTACCCAAAGAAAAGCAGCATTCTATGCCTAAAAAGGAGGCATTGCAGTTGGGATATTATGATGATAGATTGGGTTGGGCAACCTAAAATCCTAAGACCATTAGTCCATCAGCAAGTGTAATCCATGCGTACAAAACAACAACTTATATGTAGCTTGTATAATTATCTCAATGAAGACGAATGATAACAATATTCATCATTAGCAGTTTGGCACCATTAAATCCTATCACTTACAGAGTTTCAGCTTCTTGAAGAACGGTGAAACAACAGATTTGGGGTAGGGTTTGGAGGCAAGACATGTAGGAGTGTTTTCTGGTTGTTCAATCCATAGCTTATGAGCAATGTCATTGCTTGTAAGCTTCTCCGACAAGTTCTTTAACTGCACTTCTCCTTTCACCTCAAGAGTCACCTACACAATCCGAACCCAAAGATTTGTTAGTAGTAAAATTACCATATCCTTGCAAATAAAATTATTCGACCCTGATGGGTGTCACTTTTACTATTTTCAGTAAGAGCAATGGAACACAAATCCATGACTCCATGCTAATGAACTCAGCTCCACCCCAAAATGAAAAGTGGCTCCTGTACTTAGAGCCTAATTATCATTGCCATCATAATGTTGTATGTATTCTGAGTTATCCTTAGACGTAGTTATAATTATTTCGGGACAGACAGAGTATAAGTGATAAAGACAGAGGGACAAACGCCCAGAAATAATCTCCATGTAGTCTAAACTGGAAGAATATCATGCTTCATATTATTCTTAGGGCATGTTTTTAGCAAGCTTAATGAGCTTAATGTGATTCACAACTTATTCGGTCAGCTATAAATACCTATTTGGTAGGGGGTTTATGAAATAGAAAGTGGCTTATTCAATAAGCTTATGGGGGGGACTTTGTGCAGAAAGCCAAGTTTTTTCCAAACCTGCCCGTCCTAATTAAAAACACACTCCTTCCATCTATTAAAAAACTCTCCCAATTTATACAGACAGATTGTCAATACAGACAGCTTTATCCATAGGACTTAATGAAAAACCAACCAAATGGCCTCTTAGACTCCCCCACATCTCTTACCCACACATGTCCATACAGCAGGTCTGATCAAGGGCATCAAATTACACAAAGTTCTGATTTTTTGTCCTACATTCCGCTAACAATGAAGTGTAGCTACCAAGTAAGAAGCTTAGCTTCATCTTGCAATTCAACCCTCTCAATCATGATAAAAAGGTAAATTTTATCAACTTTGAAGCTACAAAGGACTGAGTGTTTAAACAAGAGATGAAGGATCGTGTGAGAATAGGAGTTAAGATGAGAAGCATAAGAAGGATCTGGAACCTTGATCACTTTTAATCTCAATTCTCAACTCTATCCCATGAATTGCACTTTGACATGGGAATTGATTTGGTGCATCTCATTAGTGTTGATATTCAATTAGAATTGATCCAAGGGTGGAGATCACTTCTTATTGTTCTCACCGTGACTTCCATTCTCACCGGAACCCAACCTTTAAACAAGAAGCACTTTTTCCCTTATATACTTATCAGATCCCCATATGGAACTCGTAGAGATGCATCTGAGATTTCCTTCCCTCTCAAATCCCACACAACTAGATTGGGCATAAACCAAGCGTAATGTTGTTCATTATCATAACTCATAGAATGAGGATAAATTGGTCATAGTGCACAAACTTCAATAATGTGCTTGCACACTTGTTTAATCAACTAAGACATAAAATTAATATGTTCAGAACAGGCTAAGGGTATATTGACGAAAATTATTAAAGCTGACATCAATTGGGAAGTACATATTGTGCATTCTTCAAATTTAATTTAGCAGTGTATGATTTACAGCCATGACATCTAAAACAGTTGATCAAAAACTAGCGAAATCAAACAACATATAGCCAAAAGTGACTAAAGAAACAGAGTATTTGCCTTATGCATTGAATCGAGATTGGTTGGGCTACAGTAGTCAATAGTGTGAGGATCATCCTTGTGTGACCAGATAGCCGCGACGGAGGCATGGCAGCCCTGTGTTACAACGCTCCCTAGTGGCCACGTGTCAATCAGATCTCGTCGCAACACCACGTACTGCACTAGCACGTCGGATGCTGTTTCTGAGTTTCCGGTGGCCGGAACCTCTGCCGCGTCGGAAGAGGAGGCCATTGGAGACGAGTGGCGGCGAATATGGGGTTGGAGGAACGAAGGGGGAAGGTTGCTCTTGTACGACGCCGTTGAGAGTGTTTTAAAAGAAGTAAAGTGAGTAATGCAACGTGGTGAATGCACAGCGGCCATGGCTTTGGACCCTGTGGCTCCGTCCACACTCGATTACGGCTCGCTAAAGGATAACGATACCTACAAAGAAAGTCATACACTCCGACTCCCCCTTCTCCATCCCGTTAGTTTTTTAATTTCTTGCTACCCGATCTAAAATTCTTTAATATCATAAAATAATATTAAGAAATAATAATTATACCTAAAATTCAATATTACAAATGATTTTATAACTTATTAAAGCTTCATTTTTAAATTTATGTAACTAACTATAGATAAAYATAATCAAATATAAGATAAACATATATTTTAAATATAAAAAATCTAAAATATAATTAAGATAATCATGAGTTTTTAACATAATGTTAATTATTATTTTTAATAAAAATTATACTATTAAACCAAAAATAAATTACTTTGTTGTTAGACCTAAATTAAATTATAATAAAAAAATTGAGTTAAAGAACTTACACAAAAAAAAACGAGAACTATTAAATAGTTAATTTAATATTAATATCGATTTTATTTTTTTAAAATTTTTTATGCTATCTTCAAATTTATATTTCATTCAAAAACAAAAACATTATTGTTTTCTCAAAATCACAAAAAATCGTATTATATTGACAGAGACAAAAAATAAAAACTAAACAGTGAAATAAAGATTTATCTCGCTGCATTGCACGAGTACCCTTCTAGTATTTTTAAATAATGGATCATATGTTAGAAATAGATAAACACTAAATTACCGTTTAATACCTTTAAAGTTTGATTCGTTTAGACGTTTGAGTATTAAGAGCATTTGTTTTATTTCTAAATTAAGAGTTTAAAAGTTCTAAACGTTCTCTAAATTTTTAAGTGATAAATGTATCCCTTAATACCTCTCAATCTTAATTCATCCTCTATCAAATTGTTCATAGTTTTGGAGGCTGAAAGAGATTCGTTAGTAAGAACCATTTATCTTTTATACTTTTGTAAAAAAAAAATTATTTATCTTTTATATTTTTGAACTAGTTTGATCGATTCAGATTTCAAATGTAAAAACTAACAATCTTACTGATTCAGATTTCAGACTTTAAGACCATCTCTTATAAATCGAAAGTGAAATCAGACTTCATACTTCAACACTCTTAAAAAACAAACGCTACCTTATTAACCATGTTATTATGGGTTGGTCCTTTAATTAATCCTAACTGAATATGAATATTAATGAGGTGTATTAAGATATATTGGGTCAATTATCTTCTAAAGTATAATACATGTTATTTCATTCGACACTTACGTAGACAAAAAGTTAAAATGGTCATTTTTGTTATTTAGATTATTCATTCAGGATAAAAATCAATAATAATTTATTTTAATTAACTCAGACAACAACATAATAAATTCAAAACTTAATGAATAAAAAACTAGATAACCCCTTATTGATTTAAAGACTGATTTCAAAAAATCCAAAAAAATAATATTACAATTCTTTTTTAAAGTAATTTAATTTATTTGATTCAAATTTTTGTTACAATTTAAATGTTTTGAATTTCAAAATAAAAATATAAACTTAAACTATAAAACCGATTCGTGTTAAAAAATTACTTCTTCTGTTCTAAAATAAATGTCAATAATTAATGGGGTTTTCTTATGAATTTCTCTGATGTATGGATTAATCAATTGTTTGATGATATTTCTTCCATTTGAATGTGTTGCTTCGAAGATAAATTTGGGTGTGTGTGTTCTTTGCCGAAGCTTTTGGCAGGATAAGTCAAGGGGATGGGATGGGGTGTATAATGGTAACAAAGATAAATTAAGGGGTTTTTTGTTTAGCTCTTAATAGTTCAATTAAAAACAATATTTGAATTGTTAAAAGACGAATCTTGTTTGATACAAAAATTTGTCTTTTGATGATTCTGTATCATGGGTCTGTCTTAATCATTCAACGCCCTAATTTCGTTGTAAATAATTACCAAATAATTACATTTCATTTTACACTATATATCATAATAGATTTTTAATCATTCTGATCACTTAGTAATTCTGCATCAAAACATTAACAACCGTCAAATAATCCCTAAATTAAAATTTTATTTAAAATTTTTTTTATGTCATTTCGTTATTTTGTATTTATTATGTAAATTTTAAATACAACATGACATATTAGTTGGTATTAACCTAACTAAGCCATGTCATCATCAACAAGTTATTAGGTATACTGGACCTTTAAATAAACGTAAAATCTGATTTTTTAAAATAAAAATAAGATAAAAGTTAATTTAATTTTAATATAATTTTTATATATTAAAAAATAAATAAATAATAATATAGACAGCACGAAGGAATAAAGTATCATAACACTATAATTTCAAACGCAACTATACAAGATATTTACTTTTTTTAACAAAATATAAAATAAATAAAATAAAATAACTGAACATCATGTGACGTGTCAACCGTAGGCTATACGCGAGGCCAAAAGAACGTACAACTACAACTGCATAACGTACAATTACTTTTTCCATAGCACCTGGAATGTTCTAGATTTTCAAAAGCAAAATTCCCCACCTGGCCACCTGTGTACACATTCCAACTTGGAGAACATTCCCGTCTCTTCTCAATCAAATATCCCCATTTATAAATATCAACTACACCATTGTTATTCATGGTTTTGCCAAGCTATTCACAAGTTTCTGGATCGTCAAAATATCAAACGAGCGAAATCATTCAGAAGGAAATTAAAGAGGATCGGAAGAAATGTGTTTGGTGTTCGTATGCGATGAAGATGAGAGGATCGTCGGACAAAAACATGCGCCGGGAAATTGTCCTTACTGCGGCGGGTTGATACAGGCGATGGACATCGAAAGTCAGTGGAGATTGTGTTTCCTTCCTTTATACTACAAGACCAAACGTAAGTATTACTGTACTCTCTGTTCCCGACGCCTTGTTGTTCAGTATTAGGGTTTTGATTTCATCGTTTTTAAGCGATGATCATTCGTTGTTTTCGAAATCTTAGTTTGATTTATGTATATTATTTACATGTGTATAAAATTAGAATCAATAATGTGAATTATATGAATCTATGTATTTTTAGTCTCGATTGTGTTTTTGCATATGAATTACTGTTAAATTTAGATTTCGTCTTTCACATCACGTATTTGTTGAAATTTGATGATACCGATCTGCATGGAAGTGTTGAATCCTATTAATATCATGTTCTTCATTTCTAATTTTTAATTTCAGAGTTATTATGTTGGTGAATTTTTTTGTAATAAAAGACTTGAATATAGGATCTTACCTATGAAAAGTAATGAATTAATCAATAAATCAGATTAATGATGATTTTGTAAAAATTATTTTTATATTTGTTTCTTATAGTTAAATGATATCAATCGAAAAAAATTATGGGTTCACCCTTGAGAGTGGTTGTTATTGAGAGGGGGAGGGGAGGAAACCCTAAGGGGGTGTTTGGTTTGCGGGAATGGATTGGATTTGGAGGGATTTGGATTTAAAATCCAGGAAATCCCGTGTTTGGGTTGCTTAATTGTAAAGGATTTGGAATCCTAGGATTGGATAAAAATCCATTAGACGCGGGATTTAAAAATCCTTTGCAAAACCGCGGGATTTCAAATCCAAATCCCATGGGATTCCTCTCCATCGCTTCCAACAGGGCCTGAGAAAGGAGAGATAGCGAACGTGCAACTAGCTTTTTGGGTTTCAAGGCTCCAATCTAGGGTTTCAGAGAGATCCAGACGCGAGCAGAATCGAGTGATTTAAGGTACGTTTATCAATCGAGAAGCTGTGCAGCTGTTAAAAAGATAGAATCGTGCGAGAATCATACGGTACCTCAAGGCCCCAATCTAGGGTTTCAGAGAGATCCAGACGCGAGCAGAATCGAGTGATTTAAGGTACGTTTATCGATCTTCTTTTGTAGAATGTCGATTTTATGTTGATTACACAACTCGGTTTTAGTCTTTCCGATTCATCGCTTCCACAAGATTGCGCAGGGCCTGAATTTCTCCATCGCTTCCTGTCGATTGCTTCAACCAGTAGTCTGTATTCAATTTCAATTCCCTAATCTATATATCTCCCTGTTCCCGTAATCGGAGGTAAGTTCTTGATTCAATCTCTATATCTCTCTGTTCTCAGTAGTCTGTATTCAATTTGAAGAACCTAATTTATTGATTGATTGGTAATTTTTGTTGCTCTGATGAATGAATATGAATTGTTTGATCACATTGTTTTCTTTCAAGAGGTAGTCTTACATTTTAGCATTGCTATTGCCTACAAGTGTGGAACTATGCCACTGCTATATCCCTACAATTGCCTCAAATATACCTAAGACTGCAAGTGATATAACCAAACAGAGGAATGGATTTCACATCAAATCCAAATCCTGCAAACCAAACACAGGAATGGATTTTAAATCTAATCCAATCCAAATCCCATGGAATCCAAATCCCTCTAGGAATCCAAATCCCTCAGAAACATTCCGGCAAACCAAACGCACCCTAAGTGATAGACGATATATAGACGATTTTGCACGTTAAAGGTTGTTTATCAAACGTTTACCTTGATAAAAGTTACCACTTCCTTTTATCTTATAGGTAACATTTCTAGCAATCAAAACTGATTGATAGGAAGCATTTGTAACCGATAAGTGCTTATTAAATAAGTCCGTCACTTTCACATACCAAGTAAGCGGTTGTTTATCAAACATTTACCCGGGTAAATGTTTACCTGTAAATTCAACACTATCAATTATTTATAGTGGGAAATTTTAATCCACCAGAATGATATCATATGTAAAATTTATCCGGTAAACGCTAACATTGATAAGAGTTTTCGTTCTCACTTATCGACTACGACTCTTGTCCTTGCATTCGTTCTTACGGGGTAAGATTCTTGGTACTTGTCATATTTTTTCGGTAATAAGGAATGTGACTCGGTAAGTGTTTATTCGGGTAATCGTTTGTAGATGGCCCTTTCTCTATGCTCGCCATCATTATTGAGTTTTAAGGATGTAAACCGAACACATATAAAATATATTTATGAAACAAATATATCTCGATCAATATACTAAATTAAAACTATAAATAAAAAAATTATGTAAAATAATATATAATGTACGAGTTCTCAGTATTATCATAATTTCTAATATTATTTCTTAGCAATTATATAACAAAATATAAAGTGTATCTGTAAAGCCCAAACTCCAGACCGAAAGAGCGGTAAATTAACTTAAATGCAAAATAGTAAAAAATATGTGGTTTAACCTAAATGAATTCAGGGGATGTTTGAGATTGTTTATAAAAATAATTTATTGACTCGTTAAGGTGTGACATCATTAATAAGCATTTTTTAGTGTTTGGATAAATAACTTATACCGGTGCTAAACCGGTAATAAGGAGTTTTTGAAAAAGTTAAACCATTATAACTTATAACAAGTTGATAAGGATTTTTGTAGAAAATCATAAGTTGTTTCAAATAATCAATTTCAAAAACCCCTCAATCTTTTGTTTCACATTTTACCCAAATTCATTGTGATCTCTTTACTGTATATCTATTACGTCTCGTTAGTTATTCCAGATGTTCGCCAAATCTGGAAAAATCCAGAGTCACCAGTAATAAGTATCGGCAAGCTTGTTCTTTCTCCGATCTTCAAGTTCACGCTTTATTTGTATTACATCGTTGTCAGTGATAGATACCGCAAGGCTTTTCTTTCTTCGATGTTCATATCTCTTACTTTTATGTGTGTCTGAATCTGCCTAACAACTTACGATTTTATGCCATTGAAGATGGGGAACTCCCTCTATTAGTGGAGATCTCTTTTCTTTTCATAAACCTAGAAAAGATAAGATGTGGTGGTGATAATCTTGCCCTAATTGTTGGAATCGGTTGTCTTGGAATTATTCTTCAATCTATAAGAAGGGGAATTCTTTTGGTTAAACGGGTGTAACTAAAAAACGAGTTCGAACCACAGAGCGGATAGCATTGATCGTCGTCCATCCCCTAGAAAAGAAGTCGACAAGGAGCAACAATTAATCTAAAGACTACAAATCAAATGAAAACATTGAATTCTATGACCAAAATGGATGACTTGAGCAATGAGTTGAAAAGACTTGTACTTGATGTGATGATTTGAAGCATTAAAAGACAACTGACTTATCCAATCTGGTTGAAGAAACGAGTAATGGAATCCATGAGACTACAAATTACATGAAAAATATTGGTTTCTACAACCGAAATGCATAGCTTGAACGACGAGTATTGAAGATACTTGTACTTATTTTGATGATTTGAAATAACACCGAAGAAACAAAGAATGAAATCCATGAAACTACAAATCAAATGAAAATATTGGATTCTACGACGAAATGGATGACTTACGCGACGAGTTGAAAAAACTGGTACCTTACAATGTGATGAAAATCATCTGGATGGGTAAGTACTTTGGGGACAAGCCGACCTAATATTGTTTTCAGAAGAGCTTGTTGATGATGTCAAACTAGAGCTTGTGAAATCAATTTATGATGACGACAAGTGATAGTCTTAAAATATGGTGTGCCACAATCTGTTTGACGTACAACAATGTGTTGAACTACTTCAACAAGTCTGCGTGTAAGATATCCTGCATCTGATGTTCGGATAACATTATCCATAACTCCTTGATGAGAAACAATTTCAGTCTTCGTATATGTTCGAACAATTTTTTTTGGATACACATGACATATGTTTGTAAAGGCAATTGTTGTCTTCGAATGTATAAACTTTTGACGATGTTTATTTGTAAAATGTGATATTTATAACTGTTGTGTTGGAATGGTTTTAAGTTACGTACACAGATCTATAAATGACGTGGCATTTATGATTGTTGTGTCTGAAAGGTTTTAAATCATGTATACATATTCAAAAAAAATTGTATGAAAATCATTTATACTTTTGGTTGATCTGTTTCGTTTTATATCATATAAAATAACATTAAACTACATTTGGGACAATTTGATACAAAAATAAACATCTATGTACCAAAACTTGGTGTATTTTTAACTCAAAATCCTAAATTAGATTGATATAAATATTAAAAAAATAAAGCCCTAATTGATTCAATAACCAGTAAAAACCCTAATCATAATGGAAACACCGTGTTCCACCAATGGCTTGTTGAGTAGAGGAGTGCCTCGACTATGTTTCAACCTCTTTCCAAACCTTTTTCATGAACTAACGACAGAGATGAACAAAGTGCCTCGACCATGTTTCAACAATACCACCGCCCCTTGAAATCCAATGACAGAGATGAACAAAGTGTCTGGTTGGTTTAAGCTCGACTCCAAAGGTCAAAAGTACTCAGGAGGTTCCAGGTTCAAATCCAAGGAGGAATAAAAATCTTCTTATGACCACGGAGGTTCAAATGCGGTGACTCCGGGCTATCTGCAAAGCAGATGGTTGTCCTGAGATTAGTCAGCTCGCATAGCGAATTGGATATCCAGGTTAATTAAAAAAAAATACCACCAACCATTGAAATCCTTTTCAATGATGGCCTCGAAGTAAGTTTCAACTATGGACTGATCTGGTCATTGGTCATTATCAATTACTGTTCATGGTGCGACAACAAAGGTAGCAAAATTTAAAGGAGTTTAATGGCATGATCAGGGACGGACCCATTTTTTTTTTTCTTCAAACGGTGACACCATTTGACCGGGACAACCCAATTACCGGTACAAGACAGGAGCTCTAAAATCAATAGTTGGCATGCGAAACAAATATAGAGAAAAAATTATTTTGTATTGGGGCTTTCATATATGTGGAATAGATTCTAATTATTTTGCAAGATTCCATTCCAATTCTTGTCAATCATACACGTGGTTAAATTCTATCAAATTTCTTCGATGAATTTCAATTCCACCAACTTTCATTATATGAACCTAAAGGCCCCTAACGTTTTTTTTTTCTATAACTTATATACCATATGTATGAACGGAAACGAAAAAGCTTTTATACCATAGGGACTAAATGAAAAAGCTTTTATACCATAGTGACTAAACGAAAAAGCTTTTATACCATAGGGACTAAATCTGCAATACATCAAAAGTTTAATTTAGGGAAATTTTGAACAGATATTAAATAGATGCAAAAATTGGGTGTTGGTTGCTGAGGGTTCATTTAGATCCCGTAAAGGCTCCTTGTCCAGACACAAGAAGTATAAAGATCCTTCTCCATTGTGCAACGAAATCTAACTGGACTGGAATTTTCTCTAGAACATTCAGCAAAAATATCTGCAACGCTCTTCTTTTCAGACTTCCAATCACCGGAACCAACCACTATGCAAGTCTCCGGCGGCGTATTTAGCGATGTAACCGCCGTCTTCTATCCGTCTTCTACACCTCCTTGTTGTGCTAGGTCGATTGAGTTCCGACATGTCCATGCTTTTTCTGAATCTAAGTTTCTTCCGTCTATCGGCTTTCTTAAAGTAAGTTATGTTCTTCGTTGCATTTTCTTTTTCATATGCGTGACGTTTTCAGCTGTTTGAAATTCGTATAAGTAAAGTGTGTATAGTAGGTACGCTGGTGAATAGTTTGGGAGGTAAGTGCTTGGGAGCGTGAAATTCGGTTAACTAAGTTGAAGCTCATTTATTTCAAAATCTGAACTATGCTCAAATTCCGATTCTAAGCTGCAAATATTCTATAAATGTAATCTCTTATTATGTGGTCAAATGATCATGATTTTGAACTGAAAATTGATGAAAATTTGTCTTATATATGGGAGTATGAGACAAAACAGCGCTCCTGATTACTGAGCTTCGAATTGGTCACAAAAGCTTGGAGTACTCTGACGACCTTAGATGACCTAGTTCATGAGGGATGCCCGACTGTCTATTGAGTCTGTCAGAATTGACACCATCCTAACAATGTTAACGATGAAGAAACAGATGCCTGTGATCAGAGGATCTGGAAAACGAACCAACTATCCATGAACTAGGCGATTGACAACCAGCTTACGAGGAAGGGTGAAAATGAGACAACGAGAGATAATGGTGAACTGGTGATGGCCTAGCTGAGAGGGCTGTCGTGAGGATAAGAATGATTAGGGAAGGACGATGGTGGATGGGCAGAAGATTTAAAAATGCATAATTATATCATTAATCAATATATATATATATATATATATATATATATAGACTTGGGATCATGTGAGACCAACCTGTTTTCGTGAGATCCGTGAGACCAGCTTTTTACACTTGAAACTTCACAGCAAATTGCTGTGAAGGTAACCTTCACAGTGTTTTTGCTGTGAAGGTTTCGACTTTTTTAAACCTTCATAGTGTTTTTGCTGTGAAGTTTCAAGTGTAAAAATATGGTCTCACGAAAACAGTCTGGTCTCACGTGAACCCAACCCTATATATATATGCCTAATCAAACGAGAAGCAGATAATTTGTGATAACTGTGAGGTCTAATATGAGTCAAATCATTTTAAATAATTGATACTATTTACTAAAATAAAACAAAGGGTAAATTAGTAAATTGTGTTGATTATTCGATTTACTTTAATTAGTTTAATATTCTCATTTACTTTAATTAGTTTAATTATTTTATATGCATACACACACACACACATACCTGGCCTTATCCGGCAGGCACCCACCACTCCGGTGACCTCCTCCAGTCATCTTGTCTGACCAAGACACCGTCTCCGATGATTGACCATTAAACACCCCACCTATGAGCATTCCCGACAGCTAGCCCCATTTTTGTCCCTATGACCCCCTCACTACCTATCTCCCTTCCCCCATCCCCCCAGCAGTTGGTATCACAGTGGTCTCAAAATTTACTTGGTGTGTTTTGGGTATCACATTGTGTATTTAACTGTATTTTAGGTGTCGTATGGTGTTTGTCAAAGGCCGGAGGTTGGAGAGAGAGAGAGGAGAGATAAAAAATTTAAAATGCACTTCTATTATAATTTTAAGTCAAATTACCAAAAATATTAGTTTCCTAATTTATCGATTGATTTGTAGTTGAGATTGGATCTCACAGTTATCACGAACTAATCATTTCTCCCTTAAATGGACCCCTATATATGTATGTATATACATATATAATATATGTATGTATGCAGTGGATATGGGCAAATGGCCCGAAATATGAAACCTGAGGAATAAACACTTAAGCATCCAATATCTCTAATGCCATGATAATTTCTTGTGTGGAAATAGTAACATCATTTATGGGATGCTATACTTCCTATTGCTACTTTAAGTTGATGGTTTTCTTATGTTAATTTAGTAGATACACTAGTTCTTCATAATCTAGGTGATTTAAATTTCTTGTATCAAGATGAATATTCACATGAAACAACACATGAAGTTTTTTAGAGCTAGCCGGAAGTGATCTTGATGAATGCAAATATTTTACTGTTGCAAAATTGCTCTGGCCTATTAGCAGCTTAGTTGTATTAGTCATGGGTGTCTTATATTTAATTAGTTAGAAAATTATTGGTGATTGCTTATCTGAATTTTCATGGCTGGAGCACGTAGTAGTAACTTATGGCATGTTGGCTTTGCTATTTGTTGATAAGCATATGGTCTATCTCATTTACTTTGAAATGCCAATCTTAGGAGAAGATTTCTTTCATGGGGTACCGGTTTCCCTAAAAGAAGTACCTAACCCATCTCAAAAATACAAATATAACAGAATCAATTGTTCTAATAATGTTAAGAATATAGGAACCAATGATAATGGTGGTTTACTGATGACATATGTGTTCTTTCTGCTACAGATGTCATTTATTTTATTTCCTTTTTTCTCTCACTTTTGACTCCTTTTCTCTGTTTTCTTTGTGGTTCAATGAATGTCTGTGCTTTCTTCTACATCTAGTCGAAATCCTTTTCGTTTTTAGATGTGAGGGTACCAAAAGGGTTGAATTTGACACTTCATGCTTAATGACAAGCCTTGATTACCACAAAGGCATCCCCAACTCTCGTCTGCTATACACTTGTACATGGTTGGAAATTTCAAAGCAAGAGTATGCATATTAATGGTCTCACATGTACTCAAAGTGACACTTCCCCATATTGTAATTGTGGTTGATATTAGCATGTGACTATCCAATCAATAATAGGAAATCTGTTATTGCCCATGCATGATGTAAAATCTCGTAATAGCAGACAATGGTTCATCATTTTGCTGCACATCCAATCTTCGGTTAATGTGTGGTTTAAGCTTTAATGTGAAGCTCCCATTGTTATGATTTCTTGCCAATGTCATTAAATGCACTCAATTATCTCCATGACTCTTATGCATTATAGAGCTCTCCGTTCCCCATGTCGAGAGTTGGAGGCGAATCATACCGAGCAAGGAGTTGTATAGCAAAAGCTTCAGGTGGTTCAGGTAATGGTTTGGTTCCAGTAGCGCCACTTCAGCTTGAGTCTCCAGTTGGCCAGCTCCTGGAACAAATTTTGCAAACCCATCCACATCTGCTCCCTGCAGCCATCGATCAACAACTTGAGAATCTTCAGAATGAGAGAGATGCTCAAAAAGAAGAATCTGCTCCTCCATCTATGGATCTAAGCCTTTACAAGTAAGCAAAATTGTTACAGCCTTTCATATAATAGCAGCATGATTTAAACGTATTGTTCTCTACTTCTCCCAAAGATATCAAATGTGGACAGTTTAATCATAATTGTCAAGCATAATTGGTGTAGTGTATAGGAGCTCCCTATGACACAGAGTTCATATAACTTCGATTGTTTTATTTGATTTACCACAGAAGTGTTATTTCAAATTGTAGAAAGTTGAAGGAAAAAGGGAAGTGCATTTGGTCTAACATGAGGGCATGATTAGATAGGTATAGATGATATGTTGTCCTTGCTTTCACTGATAAATATCCTTAAGTAGGTAGTCCCAAACCATTTACAATTTTTGAGATTATTGCTTTCAGTCGAGTTATGAGTTTGTGGATGAGTTGATGATGGCCCATTTGGCAGTGCACCAATCACATAAACGGTGTCTGCAAGGTGGTTGTTTTGCTTTAGACATCATTCTTGTAAAATATTTACAACTTTTGGCACAAATCTAAGAATTAATTGGCAACAAATTTAGGGATGCGGTTGAAAATACTCATCAAAAGGATTACTTTTTCCTTGCTTGGTCCCAGACTATATCACATCCAACCATACCAATTTATGTGTTTCTAGCGATCTGGGGTGGTTAGAACTCACATGAGACAGAATTGAATGATATTATGTCTTCCAATTTGAAGATTCTTAATTCTAAAAACCCATAGATTGGGGCTGAGGAATCTGGTGATGCTTCAAGTCTTCAACTATTCTCCACCAAGGATATGAAGTATTCTGATTTTCTGAAGATAACCTGAAAAACTTTGCATTTTGGCTGGACAAATATGAATACCCCCATCCTCTGAAATTGTGTGAATGTCTGCTAGCTTTTGAGTTTCTGATTCAGACAGTGATGCAGGATTAATATATGAAAGTAACATAAACAAGCAATGCTACACAGCTACACTAGGAAAACTAACTAGGAACTGGAGTCATGCTGAAGTATACACAAAATTTGTTCAGAGAATTTTCTTGAATAACACGCAAATTATGCCATAGCATGACCGAATAAACATTGGTGATTTCTTTCTTTATCTTGATGATAGAAAACCTAATCTAGAAGTGGGAATAACAAAACTAATAAAACCCCAAAAGACCTTTCCTAACTAGTAAAATACTCAACGAACCAAACTAGTGAAGTACCCTAAATTTCCGGTGATTAAAATATCTATTTTGTGCATCCACTCGTAACTAATTAAGCATTAAAGTCAAATAGCATGCTATTATAACCTTATTATGCCCTACTTCTGTGATCCTGTCCTTCTCCCTTCCATTCGATAGAGTTTTTGAGCTTTGAGTTGTCATAGGTTCTTTTAAACAGAACTTCTTGGAAAGAGTAGAGAGCCAACCAAGCCAGGAACGAGTTTTCTTTTTACTGGGGCACCAAGAAATCTGTTAAAAAAACTCACATCAGCAACCATCACAAAGACTGTAAACCAAACTACAATCCAGATAATAGAGATATAAATGAAAAAGAAGATGAACTCATGTATTGATAATGGAATACTCAAAGAAGGAACAGTAATAACGAGATTTCCGGAGATGGTCCCTCTCTCAAAGCTGTGAAGCTCAGAGCCAAAAATGGAAGATCAGTATTTTTTTTCCCACATCCAAGCACTCCGCCGTATATATCTAACTTCTCTACTCCCATGGCCTAACTAACTTTGCCAGCTCATATCTCATTTCCCTCGCTACCCTTGTGCCTTCTAGTATAAACCCTTCACACTTAAATAGCCTCTTTCTTTGACCCTCCAACTTCTGCCTCAGCTACAACTTCTATGCTTTGTCTTAACTAATCATCAAGATGGACTTCTCAACTTGTGCTTGAAATGCATGGTTTCTACCAGTCACAGGCGCCCATTTCTCTCCTTCCAGTAATCAAGAAATAGGTTTGATTGTCTGTCTTAGTAATTTTATTTGTGCATAAGTTGATAAACTAGCTTTCAGCTAAAAAGCTTAGCTGTTCATTAATAACTTGTTGACTAACAAACTAGCTGTTGGCTAAAGAGGTAGTTGCTGATTAATTAACTAGTTGATAAACTAGTCATGTTTGGTAAAAACCAGCTGATAAACTAAATGACAATGTAAAATGACCTGAAGGACATGTTGAAGAATTATTGGAAAAATATAAGGGCATAATTGGAAAAAAGTGGAAAAAGCCTGTATAGCTTACTGCAACATAACAGTACTTGAACTAGTTCTTCAAAAAGCTAGCTTATGGTTGATCAAACGAGACTTTTTCAATAAACTCAAAAAATAAGCTAAACTTATAGTTGCCATACATGGCCTTAATTTGAATTGTATCTGATGCAAAATTCATCAACTTGTACAATATTTTTGGCTTTCAAGAGTCTCCTAATCACTTTGGTCCTTTTCATCTGAAATATAATATGTAGCAGTCATTAAATTTCAGGAGAATAGCTGAAGTGAAAGAAAAGGATAGGCAGAAGGTATTGGAAGAAATAATGTACTGCTGGATTGTTCAGAAATTCGTTGACAAAGAAATCTCAATGATCCCAAAAGTATCAGCAACCTCCGATCCCGCTGGAAGGATTGATTATTGGCCTAACCAAGAAATGAAGCTAGAATCGGTCCACTCTGCTGAAGCACTCGAAATGATCCAGAACCATGTAGCTCTCGTACTCGGGGACCGCCTCGTGGGCCCCTTAGAGTCCACCGTCCAGATCAGCAAAATAAAACTTGGAAAACTGTATGCTGCATCCATCATGTATGGATATTTCTTGAAAAGGGTTGATGAAAGATTTCAACTTGAGAGATCCATGAACACACTTCCTGAAGGTTATAAAGAACAGCAATCAAGCTATTCAGAACCACCGGTCCCACAAAGCCCGTTTTGGGATCCGGATTCGTTAATACGGATCCAACCAGATTATGACGAAGAGGAGAGCTTCATGAGTTCTTCTGGCGATGATGGTAAATCATATAGATTAAGATCATACGTGATGTATTTGGACGCGGAGACACTTCAGCGATACGCAACGATAAGATCAAAGGAAGCAATCTCTTTGATAGAAAAGCAGACTCAGGCTCTGTTTGGAAGGCCAGATATCAAGATATCTGATGATGGTTCGTTAGGTGCATCCAACGACGAAGTGGTTTCCGTTACGTTTTCTGGATTGACGATGCTGGTACTTGAGGCGGTCGCTTTTGGATCGTTTTTGTGGGATGCAGAAAATTACACAGAATCTAAGTACCAATTTTTGAAAAGCTAAGAAATTCAAGTATTAAAGCATATAGAAACCTGCTATATGATGTCTGAATTGTGCCTTTCATTGTAAGAAAACCTTCAAAATATTTGATCCGCACCACCTCACAAGTGCGGGATTCAGGCCGAGCCTTAACGTGTTCTCGAGCCATGGGTTTGAACATTGAGGGACGAGGCTCATGGTCTCCACTCAGTTTGATTGTAACATTCAAGCAAGAGATTAAGAAAGTTTCCAGGCTGACAACCTGGATCGACTTGGAAAACAGAGAGATTCGTACAAGTCATACGTTTCGTCACCATTTTGTGGAAAAGCCGAATCATCTAGACAACTTTTGGATTAAACGTTCCATTTGGCCATGAGAAATTTAGAGAAAGACAAACCGGTTAACTGGTCTGGCACTTAATCGGTCTGTACCGATCCTTGTCCTTGCCCATTAGATGCTGTAATGGTTCCAATTATTACCAGTTGCCGGGTGAAAATGTCGTAGCTAGTCGTAACTGGTCACATAACTGGTCCCTCATAACCACGTAATCTATACTATATTATAAAACACTTGACAAAAACTCTTAAAAATAATTTTTTATGTATAAAGTACTGTTTATTGATGTATATTACTTAAAATTCAAGATTATAAGTAACTTGTGCGTAAGTACAATTTATTAAAGCTCCATGTTTGAATTCGTATAACTAACTATAGATAAACATAATCAAATACATGATAAACATTACATTTTTAAATATAAAATATTTAAAATAAAATTAGAATAAGCATCGAGTTATAATAGAATACTTAATTATTATCTTTATAAAAAAATATTATTGAACTTAAATTAAATCACTTCGTTACGAAAATTAAATTATAATAAAAAATTTGAATTAAAAAAATTACACAAAATAAGTACTTTTAAATGGTTAATTTGATACTAATATCATATACTCTCTTTAAAATTTTATGATATTTAGAAATTATATTTTATTAAAAAATAAAAACATTATCGTTTTCTCAAAACCACATAAAATATTATTATATCGATAGAGATCAAGAATGAAACTAAACATTTAATTGAGATGTGTTTTGATGCATTGCTTGAGTAACCTTCTAGTAACTAATAAATACCGATAAAAAAAGTACTTACAAATTTCTTTGGACGCTAAGGCAATTAAAGGGTTTTGAAACGGATCATTCGATTATACCGTTACTTAATATTAGTTCAATTGTCTTGTTAAAATACATATTTCGCATTTTTACGAGTATTTCCAACAATTATACTATTTTAGAAATTTTAAAGATTAAGAAAAAATGTCTTAATAATTATGCTAAATTCAAGTCTCAAAATTTCCAAAAATAATTTTGACCCATTTGGGGTTTCTCATATTTCAATAATGTTAGGGTTAAATGTGGCATGGCTTATTGGCATCACAACCTGCATTCGTGCATATTCTATTTGCCCACGATATTGAATAAAAATCCAACATTCACAATGTGCATTCATACGTTGACATAATTGTTAAGTAAACCACGCTTTGGACGATAAAAATAACCTCCATCTTTCCAAAGGTGCTGTCATACAGCTACCTGCTAGCAAAGATGATCAAATTTTCAAATATTAACAAACACCACAGAATATCGATTTTTATTGTAAAAAAAATCGCCCTGCAAACAACCACGAAGAAACAGACAACGCAGGCAGGACCACTCAAATAAAAGCCACCGCGTCTTATAGAAACGAACAGAGATGCTCAAACTGGTCAGCATCTTGAATCAAGCTTTGATTTACCTATATGTGCTTAACTTTGAAGGGTTCAAACTGCAAGAACTATAATCACAATAAGAAGCACAATTCCCAGAATCACCAAAAGCAAGCAAGTCTGCACAAGAGAATGGAAAGTGATGAGCACTGTAGGAACTGGGAAACAATGATAATGATCTAATGCAATTTCTCATGGTGAATTTCCATTTAGGGCAAAATGCGTCAAAACGTAACGAAGTTTGCCTTGGTCCTTGTTTAGCATTAAAAAAAATTCTCAATCAATGTAAAGAAGTTCCAAAATTTCCTATTTTTTACTCATTCTGATGAGTAACCTGCAGATCTTGTGAACTTTGATGACGTGGATGTCAAGTTTTTCGTTCACTCTTTTTGTAAACGGGTATCCACGTCATCAAATATTACATGATTGTCAGATAACCAGTCAAAATGGGTACAGAAAAGATTCTTCCTTACACTAAGGGTCCGTTTACTAAACACTTGCCAAGTAAGCGCTTACTGGTATCACTTAACTTACTGATTGAGCATGAAAAGGACCGAGAATCTTATCCGGTAAGAGGCACAGCAAGGACCGAGCCGCTTACCACTAAGTGAGAACAAAGACTCTTACCTGGTAAGCGCTTATCAAGTTTAAGACACTTACCAACAATCCATTTTGATGACGGAGAATGTTGCACGATAAGAAATTTGAGAAAGATATCTCTTGCCGATAAGCGCTTACCAGTAAGTATTTGGTAATCGGCCCCTAAATAGGGGAATTAAACCAAACTTTGTTGCATTTTGAAGCTTCATTTTTGTAAAATTTGAGGCAAATACAGGGAAATGGTCCCCTGCCTCATATTTGCCTCATTTCCAATCTAATTACTTCCTTTCAAATCAAGTGATTTGCATAATACATCGTGCAGTTATACAAGATTTTAAGATATTAGTAGAAGTTATAGCCCAAATTTGTGAAACCATCTCATACCATTTCTGACAAAAAAAGTAGCGAAAACAAAACTTTACCATGGAGGAGTTCGATCTTTGAGTCTTTGATGCTTTTGCAAGGTGGGATTTTGCCTGTGCAGTCGCAGCATGAGAATTCTCGATGTTGGAGCCAATATCGTCTGGAAAAAGAAGTTGTGGAGGCATAATGCACCATGAACGTAGAAAGAGATGAAAATAAGAAGTAAAATGAGAAAACATCCTTACCGATCATAGTTCCTTGCTCGTGAACCAAAACAGCAAGATCTTTGAATATTTCGTTTACCTCACCGATTTGGTTCTGGATTTCTTGTATTCCCTGATCTCTTTCCTCGATAATAGCTTCATTAAATGCAATCTCATTGTCCAACAGCAAAACTTCCTGCCTGTAGAAACATCTTGAGATTGTAATACAACAATATATGATAGTTTAAAAAAAAACAATATGAAAAGTAATATCGATATTATTCTTCTATAACCGAAACTTTGCCCCCTTCTGATTGTCGTCTACAAGATGACTTATTTCTACATATATTTATATATATATATATATATATATATATATTATCAATTCTATCGACACAAATTTACTTGCTGTTTCAGAAAGGACTCATCGTGCTTTTCTCATCACAGTTAAACTCCAGAGGGTCATAATGAGAGATGAGTAGAGATAGTCAAATGTCACCCTTCAGTCTCTGAGAGGGTAAGAAAGACGAATAGGGATCTGTCAAGCTCCAATAATAGAATTATGAAACATAGGTCTGAATGAATATTATTGTAAATAGCAATGTTCATCCACAAAAAGAGATTCAATAATAAAAAGGTGAAGACAAACAGCACATTAAATGTGTTTTAAGGTAGCTCGGAGAGGCTTATGGAGTTGATATCGAATAGATAACATTGCTACCGTTTGAACTTGAATGTACCATATTTTTCCCAATAACGTTGACTTACCGGGAAGGTAAAAGAGAAAATGCATGTCAATATAATAATGAGGGTGATGGAGACGTGGTGAATGCAAAAGAGCATGTCTAGAAGGGTGCGTTTGGTATCCAGACAGGATAGGACATGATAGAACATGACAATTGTTCGAAGTTTGGTAAGATAGAATTGGACAGGACAAAACATAACTTATAAAATAACCTATATACCCCTAATGAGTTGTTTTATACGATTTTTATATTTTGATTAATTTATGTAATTTATTAAATTATAATAATTATTTTTTATAACAAAATATATCATTAGAAAGTTTTTGTTAAGACGATTAAAATGACACTAAAATAAAAAGTTCATGTAATTTCCCATTTTTATTTTATACCTTTTCTATATTATTTTTTATTATTAATATTTAGAAATTATATAAATAATCAAAATATAAAAATCGTATAAAATAATATTTTGAGGACTATGAAGTGAAAGTTTGAAGAAAATAAAATACAATAAGTAAAATTTAAAGAAGAATGCGCATTTGATGTTTCAAAAGAGAATTAGGTTTTATTTTGATGTTATATTGGTAAAACATAGGTCTATTCCACCTTGTTCCATGGGGTGGGGGTGAAACAAGTCTGTTCCACCATGTTCCTGTCTGTTCCACATAAAAGTCCTGCTAAGCGTGGAACAATGATCTTTGTTTTGTTTTGTCTTGTCCAGTGTACCAAACGCACCCGAAAGGTACAACATGGGCCTATGCAGAGTTCATGGCTTATGCATCAGTCTAATGGAAAGCAGGATATCCTTAATGATTAAATGGTGCTAATTACCTAATCCAACCTCAGAAGCAGGCATCTTTAAATGGTTCTTTAATTGGAAAACAATTAAAAGACTCGGACCTAGATAGCTTATAATGATGCTAAGGAGGATAGAGGGTAAACAGTAGGATCTCTTCATCAATTTACCACCAGGATTGATTAATCGTACACTGGCACTTATAAATCTATGAACACAAACGAAAGATTCTATGCCATTCCAGGTTTCTATAAGCAAGTTAATCAAAAATATTAAACAGTCAGGTGCAACTTACAGAATGATGTGCAATTCTGCAAGTTTGCCTTAAAATGAGAAGCAAAAAGTGAAGAACTTGCCTTTTAGAGTCCACAAGAAGTGCACGTTGTTCTTGACTTTTACCTGAGCTTGCATCCATTTCACTGGCTGGATCACTGAACATAAAGTTAAACAAAAACTAACTGAACATGGTTTGCAAAGATGAACTTGAATTGTACATTCACATTGAAACGAGCAAACCAGCTTTGCAATCAATAGTTCCCTTGTAATTTACCTTGAAGGGAAAGCAGATTGAGGAACAAAAGGTGTGTAAGCTGTCTCTCTTTCAGCTGAAAGCCGCTGTGCCTTTTGAAATTCTTTTAGAACTGCTTGAAAATCTTTTGCAAGTTTAGCATCTGTGATCTTTTTGCTGGCCTGTAAGAAAGAGAATGTATAACCATCAGGAAACACAGAGAAGAAGAAGAAAATCAATATGGTATGAATCTGACCAGACAACTCTAATAATATGATTGTTGAAAGTGAATAAGAATAATTTTGGGCTTAAGCATATGATTTGATGGAATATGGGAAACTGATGTGATCCTGCATTGAGATTTTGAGTAAAACCGAAAGGCTTAAACGTGATGTGGAGTAGCTAATTCAGGACCTTCATATATAAATGAAGGTTTTCGGAGAGGTACATAAGAGATCTGTACGATTCCGATCTCCACCATACCCAGGGGGTGAATGATAATCATAATTTAAAGAAAAATCAACTTGAAGTTGAACTTCTACGTGCCCAGAACAAAAAACATATTCGTCTCCTCCACCAGTGTGAACTGTGAATATCAGCTCAAAATCTCAGATCAGAAGTGGGTGATAGATATCACAAACCAGTTTGTACTAATTACAAAACCACACTAGGCAAGTAGGCATTGCACATCCATGGAAGAGTTAAGAAAGTAATAATGCCTACTTCATTATGTGTGCATGTGCAGACATCCATGCCCACACAATTATGTGTGTTTATCCCCAACCCAAATAGCACACTGGAAGCTCAATGTACCACATATTCATCTTCATACAGTGTTCCAAAGTGTATTGGGTTGCATAGCAAGCACCATTACTGTAATCCCCAGTGCAGAGAAGGATGATCAAAACATAGTCATCTGCAAACTACACCAAAAGCAACAAGTATGTGCATCGAAAAGTGCCAACCCTCACTATTAACCATATCACACAAACAAGCTAAAAAACTTCATTTTAACCATAAATTCTATCAGAGAAAGTAACAAAGGAATTACATGAAGTTGAGAGTCATGACCCCTAACGCAACATGTGCATCTTGCACAGACCATGTGAAGAACTATATTACAAATATATTAAGAACAATCGAAGTTTATGTGTGTGCACGTGTAAGAGAGAGAGAGAGAGAGAGGAGTAACTTACACTAACATCCGCGCGATGATCTGTTTCACTTGCTTGCTTGAGTTTATCTGAAGTATCCTTCACCAATTGCCCAATATGTAGTCTAGTCTTGTGCCTGTCATTTGAATAACCTCCTTGTGAAAACCACCAAAAGACAATAGTGTAATAGTCGATAAGAAACTAACTCCATTGTCATCATGGCTAAAATAGTCATACAAACAAGTCAAAATGATAATAGTAAACTCGTGATAGGCGTTAGTCCTTCTTTTAAAAAGAACTAAGAATACAATTGCACTTTGAAAGGTTTTATATTTCATTAACAAGTAGTAACACTGATGGAAATAATAAAAGGTAGTGAAAATTTTAGGATGAAATAGAGTTCTTTGTAAATCCTAAACTTTAAGGACAACAGTGGTACAATGCATGACAGAAATGATAATTTTTTATCTTGTCATGTTAATTGTAAAGCATTAAATTATACAAAATGTCAATTGTGAACTGAGGTTAGTTATTGATAGCATAGAACTCAAGACCTCTGTTATTCAAATTGAGTACATTGTTTGTCTATATTTACACACACTACAAAATTCATTTATATATTAGCTACACAGATCATTCTCAAATACCCTTCACTGGTAGAATACTAGCAATCACGTTTATAACAGGTGATCAATATCACAAATATCCAAAAAGTAAGACATCTCATACGCATTTCTTTTCAACCTCTGACCCTAAATCTCATAAAATTGAATCGAAAGTAAAGCTTAAAAAAAATGAATCGAAAGTAAAGCTTAAAAAATGAATCAGACGTACAGCTTTTCTCGAAGCTCAGGGGTGTCTTTAGGAGTACCAAGGGTATTTACTAGCCTCTGAAACGTAGAGACTGCAGTATTGATCTGGAAGATTCCAGAAGCAACAGCCTGGGTCGGATCCTGTTTCCTCATGCCATTGTTCAATCCCCCACGTCTCGAATTGAGTGGGCGACCAGCTTCAATATCTTGAAAACTCATCGTTTTATCTACGATAACCCTCAAATCAAATAATTAAAAAAAAAAACCTTTTAGAAAATCCCAAAAACAAAGAACAATTTTCCGATTGAGATGAAACCCTAGCGATCGGAGCAGGGTGTCAATGGAAAAAGTGGAATCAAGCGGTGATCGGAGTTTGTATGCGGAAATTAGGGCGAGGAGGGAGGTGAGAGAATTGAATAATGATTTACAGGGGAAGGATGTGGTGATGGGAGAGCAGGTATTGCATCGCCGGCGATTCCAAAGCAAACTAAACGTGACACGTGGACACTGGATACGTGGCTACTCTTTGGTTTATATAATTTTTGCTCTTCGTAAACTCCAAGGGGTGATTTTGTAATTTTATATCAAGTACACATGATTCGAATTGCCATATTTATATAATTCGGATAATATTAGTCTAAGAAAATGTAGATACATAATTGTTTATGCGGTATCAATATTCAAAACCCAAAATATAATTAAGGAGATATTTGACGGTTGTTAAATGGTTTGTTATAGAATGATTAAAAGGTTCACATAATATGATACAAAATAAAATATAATTGTTTGCTAATTATTTATAAAAAAATTAGAGCGCTGAATAATTAAGGGAGACCCATGATACAAAATCATTTTGAAGGTTTTAAAATCATTAAAAGACAAAAAAAAATTGCCAAACAAAATTCATTTTTCAATGATTTGGAGGTTGTCTTTTAATTAAATTATTAATAGATAAACAAACAACCCCTAACTATCATCTCTCTTCACAAAAGTTAACTACTATCTGTTAAATTTTAATGATTATAAAATTAATATTTTTATTTGCGATATATAGAGAGAGAGAGAAAAAAAAGTATATATATTTACGATTCGATTTTCTATTGTGAACTGTGAGACAAAAGGTATTTAGTATGAATAACAAAGATGAAGTTTATGGACTATTTATGATAAATGATACAACATTTTACCAAGAATAATATGATATTCATGATGATAATACACGATTATGATCCATATTAAATTGATTCATTATTCATGATAAATAACCCGTGGATGCAAGGAGAACATGTCGTGCTCTCCTTTGTCTCCCGGTTCACAATCGGTATTTTTTCGTCTGAACCCGCCCCTATATGTATATATATATATATATATATAGAGAGAGAGAGAGAGAGAGAGAGAGTTATTATACAACCTTTTACATTTGTACAATCAATACAATCCAATATCAACCGTTCATTTAATTTGATGAATATGTGATTTCATAGAAGTTTTGATTGTTTCCAAATATAAAGTATTGATCGTAATTAATGAACCATATTCATTTTCCATAAATATTCAAAATTATAATAAATAAATTCTTATCATTTCCATAAATATCTCAATATATTGGGTTGCATTGATTATACAAATGTGATGAGTTACATTTGAAACGAACTCTCTCTCTCTCTATATATACAAGATCAATTCCCATTTTTAATACAAGGCCTACTACTTTTATCCGTCAAAGAGTCGTGTAAATATGGTGACTCCAAAAAGATATAAAAATCCTCTTGTGGTCAGAGAGGTTCAAATGCGATGACTCCGATTTAACCGCAAAACGAGTGGTAGTTCTAGGATTAGTCGGCTCATATAACGGGTTTGATATAATAATAAAAAAAAGCTTAATTTATAAATTATTTTTTAATTAAATTATATTTGTATGGTACAAATTACACGTCGTGTTGGAATAACACGTGAGAACTTGCCTCCACGACTTTTTACGCCCGCTACGTACAAACACATCAAAGCGTACCCATGCATTGTAACTTGTACCTTGTCAATCAAAAGTTGTACGCTCCGTTCGTATATAAACCACCGATTTGAGAAATTTCTATCACAAACCCGTCAACGCAAACCCCCTTCGAATTCCACATATTTTCAAAATCCCCTTTCTCTCTCTACAAATCGACGTTTCCGGTGTCCGTTCGTGCTTGTCGCCGTTTCTCCGGCGAGTATTTTCGTTATCGAGGATAAGCTACCGGATTTATTCTATTTGATCTCTGATCTAATATAGAGCATTTATAATGTCGGTAAGTATCAATTCTATTGAAATGTTTATATATTTGTTGTTCTTGTTATTATCGTTGATGTTACTGGCTTATTCATGAGAGCTTAATTCGATATTTTTCTTAAATCAGTTGTAGATCTGTTTTAGTGAAGTTGATTTCTTTTATTGCATTTGAAACTGTGGATTAGTCAAATAAAAGTCAAGATAGTTGAGAGCTGCAATTTTGAGTTTTGGATGATTCGATTGATCCAATTCGTGTGAGGCTAGAGGATAAAGAAAGCATCTTTCAGTTTATTTGGATCTTTTGTGGTTTAATCGTGTATTAGCCGCTGTCTGTAAACAACGGAGTTTTTTCTTTTGTCCATAGAAATAACTAAGGAAAAATCTTCATTGATTTGATGTGGAAATTACTCCACATCAAGATTGATATATTTAGTCACAAGGATCTAACTTAACTTTTATCATTAGAATTTAGACATATTACATACTGTGATTGAGAAGTTTTATTTAAAATAGTGGCATCTCTGATTAAACACCTATTAAATGACACCCGTTTGATCTTGAAGATTGATGGCATGGATTAAAGTTTTTGACATCTGATCTAGAAAAAAATAATAGACTGGAATATCGGAAAAATGAATCAACATGATATACTGGATATGTGCTTGGAAATGTTAGTGATTTCACTTGTATGTGTAGACTGTAGAGATGTAACATCTTTATTAATGTAAATAATTTATCTGCTATTCATGCAGGTTAAAACTGTTAAAGTTAGCAATCTTTCATTAGGGGCTTCTGAGCGAGATGTAAGGGAGTTCTTTTCTTTTTCTGGAGATATTGTATATGTTGAGACACAGAGGTAAGTATACTAGGTGACTTTCACCATTTGGTTTTCTTTTGATTATAAATAACACCAATGTAATGCTCTGGTTGCAGTCATAATGAGCGTACCCAAATTGCGTTTGTCACGTTCACAGATTCTCAAGGAGCAGAGACTGCTGTTCTTCTCTCGGTAATTCACTTTTGCTATAGATGTAATCAAGGGTGGGAGGTGGTCCAACTATTAGGCACATGTGTCATGTGACACCATGTGTTTTTGGTGAATTTTATAAAATACAGGGGAGGGTAGTACTACTGCATGTATTTATTCAAAAGTAAACCCACAAAAGTGCTTTTAGTTTAACTAGTTGAATCAAGGATTTAATTTTATTTCAGAGGTATGTATTCAATTTCTTAAAGATGATTTCTGATTATTGGCTTTTATAAGATACATCCAAGATGTAATATTTCCAAAATGTTTTATGCATATATCAACAAAGAAATTTATCAATCACACACTTAGATTTTTATAAATATCTCAATTACATTATTTTCTTTCACTTTCATCCAAATTGACAAATTAAAATGAAATTTGAGAAGTTTTAGTTAGTCAATAAATGGGAAGGTCATTTCTTGTGAATTAGAACATAGAGAATCAACTACTACACTCTCACCTCAATTGGACTTGAAGGATGTAGTTGATATGATTGTGAGAATTTAAGTGTGTGACCGGTACATCTTTTAGGTATGCAAGTGGAAATACCATGAAATTTCATTGATCAGTTTATCGATTTTGCCTGGACTTTCTCTTGAAATGTTTACTGATGCATTCATCAAAGATGGACATAAGTCAAATTTAGATGTCTATTGAAGCAATTTTAGTTCTTCATATTTGGTGACAAAACTACACCATAAAATTAAACAGGAGTTTCTTCTGCTCAAATTTCAATTTAGTTTTAGCATAAACTGTCTTTAGATTGAAATGGAAGGAAGTGTGCATGTGTGTGTACGGTTATTAGGGATTAATTATTCTTAAATGTTTGCAACATACTATGTTTTATTCATTTTATTGTCATTTAAAATTATTCAACAAACTCTTTTATAGTGTATGATTTGAGCTTATGATGCATGCTACTTTAGCATTAAGTGACACCACACCCTTAGAATCCTAGTTCTGCCCTTTTCATTTCTTTGTGCTCAGCTAACTTTTCTGTACGGTTCTGCATTGGACATGATGCTAAAAGAACTAATTACTAAAATCCAATTGATCATCCATACTCGAAAAAGTATGTCTGTTTATTCCAGATTAAGAGCTAACACAAACGCCTTGAAGCTTGCAACAGTCAAAATACACTCTGTTATCGGCAAGTCTTGAATAGTATGTTGTCATCTGGTCCTAAGATGTCATTGTATTCTTAAATTCAATTTATTTTATCTTCCGTTCTTAATTGAACATCATCTGATTTAGTTTCCTACATTCATATTATATCAGGGTGCAACAATAGTTGATACGACTGTCAATGTAACTCTAGACCCAGAATACCAGCTTCCACCAGCTGCTACAGCTGCTTCTCCAGTAAGATCAATTTCTCAAGCCTTTTCTTTACTATCAAACTATTTTGCCCATAAAATTTCGTAAATTTCTTTGTAGCCATATGGAAGCAATGCTCCTCCTGCTGGAGGCGAATCTGCTCTGCGTAAGGCCGAGGATGTTGTGACCAGCATGTTTGCAAAGGGATTTGTGTTGGGTAAAGATGCAGTGGGTAAAGCAAAAACCTTTGATGAAAAACATGGTTTAACTTCCACAGCATCTGCTAAAGTTGCTTCTTTAGACAAGAAAATTGGATTCACCGAAAAAGTGAACGTGGGTACGTCCATCGTGAGCGATAAAGTCAAAGAAGTTGACCAGAAACTTCAGGTTTCCGAGAAAGCCAAATCTGCCTTCACAGCAGCTGAGAATACCGTAAGTAGTGCAGGATCTGCCATCATGAAGAACAGGTACGTGTTTACCAGCGCTTCTTGGGTAACGGGTGCTTTTAATAAAGTGGCAAAGGCAGCCGGGGAAGTCGGGCAACAAACGAAGGAGAAAGTTGATAAGGCTGAAGATGAAAAAAGACGGAAAATGGTGGACGATTACGCTCACGTTCATTTGTCCGACTCTCCAATGGCCCCGGATTCAACCGAGCAACAACGCCCTTCCAAACCTGCACCAGTCACAGGTTTGGTTCTCTAGCATACCAACCAAGTCTATCTATATATTATTTATTTGGATTTAAAAGTGGTGATTATACAACTTTTTATATCATTAAGACATGATTTTTTTCCTTTAAATTGTCATGAATTTGTAATGTACAACTATTAATTCTATATGCTTCTAATTCATCAAGTGCTATTCGTGATCTTTTGAAATTATAATTCATATGCTTTGATTTGTATCTGAAACTGAAAACAAGACAACAGGACGGGACAGGGGAGAGTTTAGCGTTTGTTTATTAGCAGCTTATTAAGCTTAATGAGACTAACGACTTATTTGGTCAGCTATACATGATTGATGGTAGTGGTTTAATCAGGGGCGGACCGTCATATGGGCCTATAGGGGCCCAGGCCCCTGTGATTTTTTCCCCAAATACCTTTGAGTAGTTTGGTCGCCAAGCTTAGAGAGAACCAAAAATTTCCACCGGCCCCTCCCCTCCAATCCGAGAGACGACTCTACTCAGTACTCAGGCGACTAGGCGAAGGCGACGGAGTGACGGACGACGGTGAACGACCAGGCGAGACAGTAGGCAGCGACRGAGCGATCAGCAGCGCAGCGAGCCAGTCAGCGCGAGGCGAGACTCGAGAGCGARAGGCGAGARCGACGGACGAGTGACCTGTAAGCCCCTGCTAACCTGCTTCTTCTCTCATTCTCTGTTGTTGATTGATGCTGCTTCTTCCACTCGAAATTTATGTGGTTAATTTAGGTGATTAATTGTTCACTTCTTCCACTCGAAATTTTGTTGATTGCTGCTGCTACTGTTGGTCATTATGTGGTGATTAATTGGTTATGTGATGTGGCTGATTTAGGTGATTAATTGTTCACTGGTTTCTTTGGTTAACAGTT